TGTTGTTTACTTTGTGGAGAATCATGCAGAACCATCAATTGGCATATGCAACAATATAAAAACTAAAAGTTCTAGAACTGATGCACAAAGAGAAAGACGAAGACTGTTGCAACGTATACGTCGTCAGCAAATGACTGATGAGCAAAGAAGAATTTTACTTGAACGGAGACGCCAAAAGAAATTAAATGAGCAGCAGAGGGAAAGTCATCGAGTAAGAAATAGATTAAGACATCGATCCCTGACTGATGAACAAAGAAAACGCATTAATGAAGCTAGAAGAAGAAGGATGCAATCATTGACAGATGAACAAAGAGAGTGCATAAATGAAGCTCGAAGAAGAAGGAGACAATCCCTTACAGCTGAACAAAGAGAACATGTAAATGAGGCTCGAAGAAAAAGGAGACAAGTATTACATGCAAACAAAGAAGAATGGGAAGTACATAATGAAATTAATGGACCATATCAACACGATGGTAGCTCTTTAAGATTGCAAAGCATAGTAGGGTTAAATATGTTAGAACAATCTCGTCCTAACGAAGGTAATTCTTTTTGTTTTTATATTTTTTACATAATTATATTATATAAGACATAATTTAGAGACATATGGGGTTGTGTGAAATTTGACCAAATGAAGTAGATCACATCTCCTCAATTTTTAAAGACAGAGGTTTGTGATCAAACATTATTTGAACCAACTCCACCAAATGATTGGATATTTTCTATTACTTTTTACTTATTTTTTATATGAATAAATTATTAATATATAGACATATATATAGGGGCAATACAAATTTTGGTAACTGAAGGAAGAATCCGCCTAACTGAATTGCGTCGCCGTGCTCGGTGTACAATTCATGCCCCAATGCAATCTATAAATATGGAAAGTTGTATTGAGGAATAAAATATTGGACAAGAAGTTGGTATTAAAAATGGTCGTATCTCTTCACAAATAGAAGGGATGGTTGAAGGTGAGATGTGTTCTTAACTAGTTTATCTTATGTTTAATATTTTTGTAAGGATATTGCTAATTTTACATTTTCCTTTTGTAGAAAATATTGCTATTGATGCAGGGAATATATTAAGAGATGAAATTCAAACAACYCATGTGCATCATGATGGAAAGGCCTTCATGGTTCATTAAGACAATATTTGGTTCATTTTTCTCTTGGTTTAGTTAAGATTCTAACTGTCAAGGAGACCGTAAACTTGATCGATTAAGAAACTGTTTGGGAGATTGTAAATTGCATGATCAAGAAGTTGAAAAATGAGATCCATTGCTGCAGTCACCGCTCCATTCAAGGTGGCAAGGTTCTCTAGGGGTTTTCTTGAAGGATCCAATCATTCATTATGACTTGATAAACAGGTTATTCTTGTATTGTATTTTCTACATTCCTCTTGTATATGTTGATACGGTTTTCCAATTCTTGAACCTGATTTTTGGTTGTTTAGATTGGGTTTCTGATTTATAGGATATTGGGTCTTCAATTGTCATTTGATCCAATTTTCA